CATTGTAGCAGCTGGCATTAATGCTCACATGAGGATCTTTAAAATGCACCAGCAAAGACCCCACAATGTCAAAAAATGCAGTTGTTATAACCTTCCAGGTGGATTGTTGCCTGGAAGGTTATGATGACCTGTGGCTTGAATTTTTTGTGTTGGTGAGCCAGGGTGTTTCCATTGCATGCTCACACATTTAAATTAATAGTTGGTTCAAAGTGGTGGCACCATTTGGACAGATTCCAAATAACTTGGTCATATTTTCATTACTCTGTCAAAAACAAAATGTGTGAGATGACTTAACTTTTTCCTGCTTATTCATTGATGTATGCTTATCATGCCACATATGATGTCATTCCCCTTCTCTTGCACCAGACCAAGTGACATGGCACAAACAGGTTTCATTTGATCAATCCTTATACAACCATTTTCATTTGTAGAAAAGAAAGGTTTCTGGTGTGCATCCAAAGTATACAGTGCCATCAAGGAAGTACTTTGCAAAAATCATTATACCATACATATACCATTGAATTTTTGTCTAGTTTCAGAAAATGTTTAGAGGGAACAAGTCTATTCTATTTTGTTTATCAGGGGCATTTGGATTGCTGATATTTGCAACAAAACTATTTCCAAATTTAACAGATTTTCTAATTTGTCATACTAGGTCCATACTCTTCAACTCTGCAATGGTGATGCAATTTTGTTTCAAAGAGCTATTTTAAGGATACTAGCTGATACCATAAAATGACAATAAATTTTAATCATTCTCCTTCAGCCCAACATACATTTCATGATCTTCATACAAGTCTTAACAAGTCCCAATCACAGATTACACCAGGACATCTGAACAAGACAGAATAACACATTTTACATGTTAGAAAGAATTGCAGAACATTGTTATCCATTGACTACATATGCTGTTGATAATTTTAACTTTCTTACATTAACAATTCTTCTGAGATCATTTGAAGAAGTCACAAGGATAATCTGTTACAATAATTCCATTGGTGTTGCCAATTCTGGAAGCACTGTAGCTGTTTCTCTCAAAAGTGAAAGATAGTGACTCTATCAGTGGTGTTCAAATATTAGCAAGTAATTTTTAATTGGAAATTTTTGTGTTTTTAAAAGGACTTTTTTAGTTTTTTGGCGGCTAGTAGCCTAGAAAGGAAGGTTGGTCGCCAGGAATGTATTGTCTATTGTCACAAACTAATAAATGGTGTTCCCAAATTGGACAAACTTGGTCTTCAAATAATTTAAATGATTTGGTGAACTGTTATTATTGTGAATGAAAATCTAATTGAAATCATGTTGTTGCAACATTTTTGGTCTTACGTACAAAATAAAATTCTTTTTGGAAGAAACTAAAAAGAGGTTATTTTGAAAAAAGGATTATTCATGAGATGGTTTTAAGGAAGCTTATGCAGTAGCATTTTTTAACACCAATTGTTATACAGGAAAAACTGTTATCTCTAATTTCAGTAATTCTGTCACTACGTTCATAACCAATATTTGGGAATGTTTTTATGAAATTGCTTCAGATCTGGGATTTGGAGAACAGTCCTTTGATTTGGAAAATAATGATTTCAATAAAAGACTCTTACACTGAGCTATCCTACTTCATTCTGTTCCCAGTTCCCAGATATAAACAGAAATATTGAAAAGGGCTGCAGCACACATTTGCTGTTACCTGAGTTTGTCCAAAAAAATGCAGAAAACTCTTTTGTGGTGGCATAAAAATGGTAAAATGTTTTCTGGATTAAATTCTCTTTCCCAGAACCTTTCTGTGCTACATATCTCAGTAGCCAATGAATGGCTTTTCACTACTGGCAGGAACATTTACAAATCAAAGAGGAATGGGCTAGTGCCAAAAATGGAGAAATGTTTATGTTTTTTTACTATTGTCTGATTTCTGAATTATTGGTAATAGTTATTGTTTTTTTAACATCATTCTTTTCTTTTAATGTTAATTTATTAATTTTAAATTTAAAAAGTAATGATATTTTTTCAATGGATAATTATTTACTGATTACTGTGATTGTTGTAGAATTAAAATTGTCATTTGACCAATTAATTGGTGCAGGAACCAATTATTGTGATAAACAATTAGCAAATGATTAATCAGTATATCTTAACTTTGTTATAAATAAATGTAATGGCATAGGAGCAGACAAATTTATAGACAATACTGAATTGAAGGCAATTGCATATGCTATTTTCTACATATTAATATAAATAAAAAGAAGTTATTTTCAAAATTATTCATAAAAAATTATTTTAATATTTAAAAAATATGACTACTATTTTTTGTTTTATAATGTCTTTAGTTTTTCCAGTAAACAATGTTCCTTGTTTTTTGAAATGAAGTCAAAGATATAAATAATAATACACATGAAGTCAAAGATATAAATAATATTTATATCTTTGACTTCATTAAAAGAGTTAAGGAAATATTATTTCCTTGACTTTTTTTATCTTTTATCAGAAAGAGGCTTAACCTATTATTTTCAATAATTTTAGCAGAATTGGGGATTCCAATTGAAATATTTTTTTTATTTATAAGGTTTAGTGCATGTTATCCAGTGTTTGTACTTTTGTTTTCAAAACAGATTTTATAAACAGAAGATAAATGATGAGAACTACAGTATTACAGAGATTATCATCTGGAAAATTTTCTCTCCCAGTGTATGAACATCTGGTTCATACACTGGGAGAGAAAATTTTATCTATTGATAATATTGTTAATGTTATCAAACTTAATAATATGTTAATCAATTGGATCATTTGGAGGAAATGAAAATTTTAATGACTTAGCAAGATAATAAATTCAATTTTTCCTTGAAATGAATGTTGTTTAAACCCTTTTTACCTTCCATATCTTACATCAATGAAATTGATTTCTATGACTTGGAATTTGGATATTTAAAAATCAAATCCAGTCATTTTACTGTTAATGTAAACTTTATTCATTTATAAATAAATCTAATATAACTCAATATAATAAATATTGACACTGACATGCCTGTATATTTATCACTGGATGTTGCATCATTATGCATCTAGTGATAAATGCATTTGTTATGAGATTGAGAAATGTGAATTAGAAAAGCATCAAAAATGAAAATGTTGAGTATGTTAACATCTGAAACTTGTTCATTTATTAGACATTTTTGCTTCTAATTATATGAAAATACTCATTATAATTATAAAATGAAATTTTTAAAAACTTGATATTTTGACATTTTGACATTACATAAGATAGTATTTTGAGACAAACAGCTGAAAACTATATACAGTACAGTCTTATTAATCTGGCCTTTCCTAGTTTGATACATCCAGTAAGCTGACTCTAGTGGACTCTTGAGTACTACCAGCACTGTTGCCAAGCCATACAAGCTTCCCACTAGTTCAAACTCAAGTTTCCTTTAAATATGGTATGATATCAAGCTTGAGCTTAAACACTCAAACTTGCCCAGGCTTGAACAATATTGTTGCCAAGCTGGAATGTTCAAGTTGGACACAATACTAAAGATTTTTAGGTTGTCATCTTAGGCAGTTCAAAAAGGCACATCATCTTTTAAGAAAATGCTGTGTAAATGTGAAAATCAGTACCCCAAAATTTTTCATGAAAGATACTGTACCTTCCTCTAAATTTTCCACAGTTGCTTAACTTTAATGGGACTCCATCAACTTGGCAATATTGATTACTAGTGACAGTAGTATGCTTGATGTTTTGATCATTAGTCTAACTTCTGTTATGCTGCATCAATTAACTGCTGACTCTATGTTGTCAAGTTCATTTATATGCCATTGAATTCCTCTTACTTCCAACGATCTGACACTGTTTCATTGCCATATATTGTATACCTGATTACCAATATAGGCACTTTGTTGTGATAATTTATTGGATCTTATGAATTTTGGATGCATTTTGAGGTTTTTTTTTTATTCCCTCATTCAGCCATATCTACTATCCTTTAAGTTCTATGTTCTATGAATCATAAACAGAAGAACATCTCAAAATAAGGAATGACAACAGATCACAAATGTTTTATATAGCTGTCTCAGTTATTTATTTATTTTTTTTTTTTAATGTTGAAAAATGTAAAACTTTTTTACAAGAAAACTTTTTTCGTTAATTAAGAAAACTTCTTAATTAACAAAACTTTAAAAATTTTGATGAAACATCATAAAACTGTTATCTATATCTAGAAGTTACAGTATGTTAGTTCAATCTCGATAACAACAGAATTAGTATTTAAAATTGACAGATAACTCACACTTCTTTTCAAATTGACTTTAAAAGTCAGATAGATAATCTGCAGGTTATTTGCAGGAAATTATAGTAATTAAAAGTGAAACTGGTTTCATTGCTGGAGTTTAAAGGTGTAATTTTTTTTTAATAAGTTATATATAAGCCTAATTATATTTATGTATTTTATACACAGTATAAAAAATATTAAATTATAATTTTCATTCATTGTTTTTGTCATATCTGAAGCAAATGAAAAATTTTGTTTTAAAAAAATTTTTTTACAACAAAATTCTAATTTCTTTTTTATAAGAATTTTTTCTCTCTTTGATGGATTACAGTTTCATCATTCTTAGAAAACATATTGGCAACTGTATAGCCTTTAATATGTTGATGTATCACTTCAACAACTAATCAGTTAGTTCTCAAATATTAATAACATTAATCAACTATTTTATTAAAATATTTCAAATAAATTTGATTCTTGAGAATGGTGGATAGAAAACTTTTAAATTGTTTAATGTTATAGTTAGCTAAATGTGCAATGTTATTCCTTAAACTGTACTGAATTATTTAGTAATTTAAGTTGATTTCAGAGTTATTTTTTGTGTTAACAAATAATGGCAGTGTTATCTTAATATGTTCATAACATGCTTAATTTTTATAATGATATACAGTAGCAATAAATATAGTTATAAGAAGATTTATAATTCAGGAATACAAATTTTGATTTTAATAATTTAAATTATTTAATTTCTAGCTGCACTTCCACCAGCTGGAGAAGAAATAATTGGAGATACAAAAATAGTTACTGAATATAAAGTTAATAATGAAGGAAAAAAGATTAAGGTAAGTAATTTATATATAAAATGAATGTGAGATCTGGAATTTTATTAACAAAAATCCCGCTTTTTTATTAACTAAAAATTTTAATTAATTCACTTTCGTTTATGTAACGAATTAGAAGAAAAAAACGATCTTAGCCAGGAATGTGTAAACCTTCCTATCATAACTATCAACATCTATTCTTCTCTACATAACTTGCAGCTCGTCTTGCACAAAAGTTTATAGTTAGCATCCAACTTTCGTCACTTGTTTTAGGTCCCTGGGACACCTATAACCCTTAGCTCATGAACATCTGATCACGTGGTGGAAATTCCCCACAAAAAGCTATAAAAGACAGTTCTTACACCCTCTTGGGGGAGTCTCTTAACGAACACCAGACTGATGACATCGCGCGGATTCTCCAAACCCGCCGACATTCTGATTTATGATCATCGAGATCCGATCATCGCCAAAGTTGCAAACTTTTATATTTGTGCTTGTTTGGGTTAAAACCACCTTTTATTAGACATTTAAGTGCCTACATGGACTTACTCAACTAGGAACCCTACAAAGAGGTATGGAAAATGCGTGTAAGCTCTCTCTCGAGCTGTTAGACTGTTTAAGAATGAAATTTGTGTAGTCTTTTTGTCTATTTTAATAAATTCTTGTTTTTACCCATTAAATGGTAGACTCCTTGACTCGTAAACGCCCTTCACCTTATCGTCAACCCCAAATTCTCTCCCTCCACTCGCCTGACATTTGAGAGTCCCAAATCCCGGGACCAGTAGTAGTAATAGCCATCTTGACACGTGAATGGGAGATCTATGACCTCCCCAGCGGTTCACACATATATTCGTATTTTTAAGGTTAAAAATACACTTGAAAATAAATACAGTAATTCCAAGTAGTATGATAAGATAAACTTTTTGAGATTGTATCTCATCTTTTGATTGGGATGGATGATTAAGGAACTGTGGGAAAAGCATAACACTAACATAATAAATATATTTATATCAATTATGTAGAAATTGGAAGGTGTACCATGACATTGTTTAACTGATAGTTTTATATTGCTAATTGTACAGAGTTTTTCTTGTATAATGAATAAATTCATTGAAATAATAATTGTACTGTTTATAAATTATTAAAACAACATATGTTGATTACATAAACATGTTATGCTGAATTTATTTTCCACAAATGATTAATATAACTTATCTTTAATTTTGGTTTCTTGTTTTCATACAAATTAACATGCTTTATAGAAATTAGGAATTGTTGTAAATGATTGGTACACTATCTCTTAATTTATATATCTATCAAAATAGTAAATAACACAATGAAACATTCATATACTGATAATTTGGTATGCTTTAGGATAGAAGTAACTAAATACAGTAATACCCCGAACTTACGCGATAGGTGGACCAAGCGGTAACCGTGTAAGTCAGGGTATAATTTTGCATATAAATACATACAAATAATTTTTAATTGGGGCCAGAGACTAAAGAAAACAATAATTTAGAAAAATATGTTTAATAAAATCTTAGATAATACAAATTAGGCCTATATTATTTTACAATTTTTCACATTTACTTGATTATTATGCCATAATTTTAACATTGTTTCCATCTCAGCGATAATACTGTGACACTTGCGAATGATGCTTGAATTTAAAGATTGAGCATTTTTCACAGCTTCGAGAATTTTTTCTTTGCCTTTTATAATTGTTCTGACCAACAATTCCGGTAGATCAAACTTCTTTGCCAATTCACAAATTTTCGTTTTTGTATCAAAGTCTTTAATAATGGGTACGTTCGTAAAGTCAAACGAGTTAAACGCGTTAGTAACGAATCGTTCAAAAAGTTTAATGAAATAGGAATAATGATGACGTCATTCTCGTTTAACTCGTTTGACTTTACGAACATACCCAATGTTAACTTTACATTCCAAAGATAAAGTTTTTCTTTTCTTGTTTGATGCAGAAGAATTAGTTCTACTTCGTTTGGATGACATAGTAGAGTCTCTCGAGTCTCCATAGATGTAACAAACACAGAAATAAATAACACAAAATAAATTGTAGCTATGTGTCGATTCCGCGCGACACATCCGAACATGTAAGCTGAACATAGTGTGGGGGGAGTGAGTAATCAAGGGTTGCATGGCGCTCAAGCAAAAGACGAATCAACGAGATTTGAAAATCGCGTAACTCCAGGTTTGCGTAAGTCGAGGTATTACTGTATAGAAATACATGTAAAAAAAAAAATCAGTTTATTATTTATTTTCTAAATATATTTTAAAAATAATTCTGCTTGTGAATTTTATTGTTTAATTATTTGAGTTTCCAGTCAACAATAATGAATAAACAAAACTTAAAATAGTTGTAATTAAAAGCTTCTAAGTATATCATTAGTTACAGTGTTAAAGCAAAGAAATTATTAAACTGGCTTAAATTAGTAATTATTTCTTATAGTATCCCAATGAATTCAGTAAAATTATATATTTTATAAATATTCTGTTAATTCAACAAATTTAGGCAGTAAAATATTTTATTTACTGAAAATGTGTTGAAGCACATATATAAAGACATAATGTTTTTGACTGGCTAAACCCATAAGTCTTTGAAGTGACTTCAATCTGGATGATAATGAAGTTTACCATAGGAAATCTCTTTACCTTACTTCCCATGGTTGTCACAAACAGCATTGGATGTGGCATATGGAGTTCTGACAACGTCATTACTGTAATTGAGTTTGAGGATAGTGTAACATTAGTTATTTCAGCAGAAATTGAATACTACTAATTATAATTAGCATTATTTGGATATTGTCAGTTTTTAGTGTTAGTGTGTCCAATGAATAAAAGTAAGTAGACTAGCTGCCTAACTTTAGGCCAAATTATTTAGTTAAATTGATTTAATAATGGCCTAAATATAGCATAACAAATCCAATTAGTTATCTGAATTAATATAATTGGGCTTGTTATTGACTGTATTGAATTTATGTTTTAAAAGATATTTTACACATGCCTTTTTATATAGGTTGTTCGTTACTACAAAATTGAATGCAAGAAAGTGTCAAAGACAGTTGCAAGAAGAAAGGTGAAATTATTATTTTCTAATTAATTTAGTTAGCAAATAAATTATCTTTTTATTATATTAAAACAACTTTCTAAGTTATTTGGTTATTCAGTTTTGTAAAAATTTCTGATTTGAGGTCACTTTTAAAATATTTTTAATGAATATTTATTTGTATTTGTAATTAAATGTCATTTGAATCGACTGCACATATAATCTGATTTTGATACGGCTACCCACAGAATAATCTGTGGTGAAGCCCCATAGTGGATGGAGTTCTGATAGAACAATAAAAAAAAAAAAACACTATTGTGGATTAGATAAATTTAAATTTGATATAATTGTTGAATTGTTTTTGATATTATTAGCATGTTTGCTGTGAAGCTAATTTAGATGTGAAGCTGTTACTTAAGCACATCTAAATTACATACTTCTAACAGTCAGAGGAAAATTGAAATGTGTGTGCACTACTCACAATAGAGAAATTTTGTGTCTGTGAAGGTCTTTTGGATGAAATCACTTAGTAGTATATCCTTAATTCTTGTAGGTGGCCAAATATATTTAAATATATTTTTAATTATTTTGATTTGTTTATTACACACAGTAACGAAAATAAGATTGAGACAATATCAAAATTTTTGACTTACTGAAGATTTGTTCAGATTGTTTGAATATTTAAATCCAAACAGATAGATAATGTAATAAAATGAAGAAATGAATAATTGTATGCAAATATTTAAAGCTATAAATGAGACAGGACTTTATGTACAGTTTGACAGGCATAAGTCAGTTGACACCAATTTGCAGATTGTAATAAGTAGCAAAGCACAAATTAAAAAAATCATCAGGGAGATTATTAACACAAAGATATGAAAAGTTATTTCATAGAAATAGTTATGACTTATGTTATAACCATTTATGTTAAGCTTGACAATCTTTTGTAGTGCAAGAAAATTGAACAACTGGAAAAGGAACTTATATTGGCTTATTACAAGCAAAGTGACAGCAAAAGAATCATTGCTAGAAAGATTAAGTGCAGTAAAACAGTTATTGCTGACTTTTTACACGATCCTCTAGGTTATAAACTCAATTACTCAAACCTTTAAAAATGTAGTATAATTTTAATTTTCAGTTTTTGATCAACTTAAATGACATTCTTCAGGACAGAAGAAAACTTACACCAGAGGACATTCTAGCTTTCATTCTTTTTTTAAATTGAAATTTGTTTCCTTCTATCCTGAAGACAGTCTTTTAAAATGATCATAAACATTTAAAAATTAAAATTATACTGCATTTTTAAAACTTTGAGTAGTAGTAGTACAGTGGTCTGTGATAAGTGTAGTTTTCAGAAAAGTGGTTATAAAACTATTACAAGAATAGAAAGAGACCAAAGTTGACTGCGTAAAATATTTGAAGAATTTTTAATGAAGCAAAATAGAAAGAAAAAGTAGCAAGGATATTATTAAATTCTTTCATGGCTAACTTAATTATTGCAAGAAGAAATACACACTATAATTGGCCAAGAAACACAAGACCAGTTTGAAATTTGCTAAAGAACTCCATGATTCAAGTGACATATGAAAGTATAATATTCAACAATGAAAAACATTTAATCTGGATAGCAGCAAAGTCTAAAAATATTTTAGCAGTTTCAGTACAACTTCTGCTGCACGTTTTGTTTTTAAAGGACAAAGATCACAATTATGTTGCATAATCTTGATAGTTCATTAACTATTGTAGTATCTATAGGAAGTAGATTTAAAATCAGTCAAATAAACTTTGGCCCATAGATTGAAATTCTTCATAGTGATTGGTCATATGACAATGTTTTTGTGATGTTGAGACTTCTTTGAATTGTTCATTTTACATAGCAATACAGATACCTCAATCTTGGAATGTATAACTTATTTTTCAGATCAAATGACATTTTATCATGTCCTCCATGACCCATTGAGTGATGATATTGAAGTAATATATCAGCATATTCTTCAATAGGAAGGATTACCACAACAGGATCATCGATGTTTTTTCTTTTCTTAATTAAAACTCACTTTTCCCTTACCTCCATTGTATCGTATTTCCTAATTAGTCCATACTGCTTGCTAGTTTTCTTCTTGTCAGGGATTTTTGAATCTAAAATTTCACAGACCACTTTGTTTACACGTGAAGTTGTTCAAGGTTTTTTAATTACTACTGTATTCTTTCATTTTTTTTCCATTAACCTGTTGTACGTTGTTCCTGAAAATATTCATGTTGACCTGCATGGGCAATCTTGAACATTTTCGTGTTTACATCAGAACGTTTTTTAAACATCAGATGTTGCTACTTGTATGCTGTTTTGAAATAAGTGACTCATATCAGAAAAACCATTATGTTATCTAGTTTTTGCTCAGCAGATTATCAAAATTCTAGGAATAGTTCTTTGTTAGAAATCACAAAGAAAATTAGACCATTTTGTTTCTGTTTTTCAGCATGGCAGGAAGTAGTCAACACAGTGCTCTAAATAAGTCAGAAGTTATGGAATATTTATTCAATTTAGGTTCTGATGAATCTGAATTTTCAGACAGCAACGATGATTACATACCAGATCAAAATGTAAGTGATGACAGTGGTGATTTTGATCCTGATTTACCATCTACGAGTGGATATAGAGGCAGATCATGTGGCAGTACTTGAAGTAATACTGCTAAATGTCCGCAATTTAGTAGTGATGACGGATGGTTTTGTACAAATTTCAGACATCCTCAAGTGAACAGTTTTACAGGACCATCAGGAATACCATGTAATCTACGGAGTGATGCTACACCGTTCGACTGTTTCAGTATATTCTTTGATGATGAACTCGTCAACGAGATTGTTTCAGAAACAAACCGGTATGGTGGTAGTTTGCTAAACTGTGATGATTTACGAGAGAATAGTCGGATAAAAAACTGGAAACCAACGACAAATCCAGAAATTAGAGAATTTCTAGGACTTATAATGGTCACAAGTATAATTAGAAAACAGTGCCTAAGTGTGTATTTTACAATCGGAGATCTTTTTTCGACACCCTTTTTTTTCAAGTGTGATGTCAAGCAACAGCTTTCAACTTTTATTGTCCTGTCTGCATTTTACGGACAATAATCAAGATTCAGGTGGTGATGATTGACTGCATAAATTATGCAGTGTTATCGATCATTTACTCCACAAGTTCAAAAATGCATATCTCCCAGAGGAAAATATCTGTGTGGACAAAAGTCTTATGCTATGGAAAGGGAGATTGGGATTTAGGCAATACATACCGAACAAGCGTGCTCATTTTGGAGTGAAAAGCTTCTAAATTTGTGAGTCACAAACAAGATATGTTTGGGACTTTATAGTTTATACCAGAGCTACTACTGAATACGGAAATTTTGAAGGTAGGCAAGGAGAGAAGATTGTGCTAATCTTATTAGAACCGTTGTTCAGTAAATATCACAAGGTGTTTTTAGATAGGCTTTTCACCTCATCAACCTTAGCGAAAATGCTTCTAGACAAAAACTTATGTATGTGGAACAGTAAATAAAAATCAGATTGGAATGTCATGTAATTTTCCTGATCGTAAATTGAAAGAAGGGGAATTATCACCTGTCAGAAAGATGAATTGTCTGTGTTCTGCTGGAAAGACAAAAGGGATGTGGCAATTCTAAGTATGATGAGTGACAACGAATTCTGTGATTCAGGTAAACATGACAGATCTGGAAAAGTAATAAGGAAACCAAATTGTATTTTGGATTATAATTACAATACAGGTGGTATCGATCTCTGTGATGGAGTAATACACAATTGCATGAGAAAAATGGTAAAATGGTACAAAAAAGTGTTTTTAATATGATGGATATTACATTGCATAATGCTTGTATTTTATATCAAAAACATACAAAAAAAAACAAATATCATTTCTAGATTTTTGTATGTCTGTTATCAGAGAAGTGATAGAGAAGTATCACACAAGCAGACATCTAGCCCACCGCAGTCGACCATCACATGAAAATCCGTTACATTTATACGAACGGCATTTTCCTAGTTTCATACCACCTACAGAGGAAAAAAAAGCATCCATCCAGAGTATGTAAAGTATGTTCGGCTAACAAAAAAATGTGCAGAATCACATTATCAATGTGTACAATGTAATGTTCCACTGTGTGTTGTACCTTGTTTTGAGCTATATCACACTAAAATTAATTTTTAAAATAAAATTTTTTGTTTTTTACATTCCCTAATATGTCTATTTTGTGTGTAAGAAATATAAAGTAATTCGGAATAATACAATAGCCACAATTATTATTTTTCTAAAACGTGTGATTGCGTTAGGCTTAACATCGAAAAATATTCAATGTGGAGCGACACGTGACGGAGAAAATATTCAACATCGAATAGGTTAAATTTCAATGTCATACAACATATATCTTCTTCAGAGCCATTTATAGTATCATTATCTTGCATATTTTCTTCTCCAACAAATGTAATTTCTATATCCATCTATTTCTAAGTCACTCTAAATACAACAAGTAAAACAGCGAAGCAATTCTTGAGATGAGATTTGTGCATGTGTTGCTCGCACTCTCCGAGACATAGGTCTCGGAGAGTGCGAGCAACACATGCACAAATCTCACACTTACTGCCTGTTTGTAGAAACATTCTCAGCATTTTGTATTTTATTTTGATCTTGTTCTCGGTCCCCTGACTACCTAAAGTCTAGTTTATTTTATGTGTGCATGATTTGGGCACCAAATACTCTGTGCCAAATTGCAACTCCTGACATGTACTCTTTCATTCCTCTAAGGTGTGCAGCCATTGATAGCAGCATGATTTTAGAGACGAGACATAGTCTCATCAAATATGACACACACACAAAATGAGATGTAATTACTTAAATTCTACTAAATGCTAACTAAAAAAAAGCAACTGCAACGTTTATCAAATCTGGGCAAAGCCATGTTTTCAAGAAGTGTTGAAGACATGACCAATTTGTACTAACACAAAATGGGGAAAGGGATATTATACTAGTGCTGCAGAAAAGTCACATTACATCATCAGGCTAATTGAACAAACTAAAATTCACTTTCTTAAATGCTTAAAGCTCTGTGGGCTGATTGCAAAATGCCTAATGTCAGACCGAATAACAAATAGAAAATGATTTTCCAATTGTAATTTTCCTAGACTCATTGTAAAATAATGGCACTCTTTACATGAGCCAGATTTTCCAGTTCACCTACAACATACATATAATTTTCCTGAACAAAGCCAGGCACCTTAATTAGTGAAGTACTAAGTAAACCTAAGTAAAAGAATATGCAAATGATAAGATAAAACTTTTTAAAGAAATTGTCAAAATAATTTTATATAATTATATATAAATTTTGTGTGTGTGTGTGTGTGTGAGAGAGAGAATAATTGTATTTATAATGTTTTTAATAAGTTTTCTTGGTTTTTTTTTTAATAGCTATGGAAAAAATTTGGTTTGGCTGCAGATGATCCTCCAGGTCCTAATCCTTCAAACACAATTGTTTCAGAAGAGATTTTTATGCAGTTTTTGACAAATAAAGAGGTAATTAAGTTCATTATTTTATAATATAGTAATTATGTTTCAGTAGATGTTGATGTAGAAGTTTTTATTACTTTTCTGGAATAGTTCCTTTATTTTTCCAGTTGCATAAGCTGTCTGAATGTATATGTTACTGTGAAAGACCGAAATTAGAGAATGTCAATATTCTCCAGTGAATGTTGACACATACAAAATAAGTAGGTGAAAGTCTGAATATTTGGTTATATTATTATACATTCGAACAATCGCCGGTGTATGTCGACAAGCACAGATAAGCTTTGGTGGAGGTCGAAACGATACCCGAGAAGCCAATGTCGACAGAGAGGCGACAGTCTATCGCCAAATATTTTGTGGATAGCTGGAGGTAGGACACGGTCGTATCTCTTTTTCCGACAACGGTTTGGTGGAAACTGCTCACTTTGTGACTGGATTGCATTTTTGTTCTTTTGATCCCGTGAGGTGGGGATTAGTTTGTCAGGTCGAGTGGCGGAGGATGAGAGGGGTCGTTGGTAAGGCATCGGCGATATCTGAATAAAAGACACCATTAACAGATCAGTTCGTAATCACGTAATAACGTAATCAGTTCGTAATTTGTAAAGAAAAGTTACTTTCCATATATGAGATTTCTTCTCAAGAAATATCGCTAAGAGAAGCAGCTGCAGCTAATTCGAAAAGTGGAGGGCAAGGCTGTACACGCTGTCATTGCAAAAAAAGTGTTCCACAAATAAATGCAGTTGTAAAAGCAAGGGACTCTTGTGCAATTCAAAGTGCCATAACAGTTTAAGTTGTTGCAATAAATAAGATTGTATAATGTTAATCACATAATTTATGTGTAAGTTTATTATTGTATTATTTTCTTTAATGATTTAGAAT